TACTTCGGTGAAAGAAAAGATAACACATAATATAGGCAAAGTCAGTACACTTGACCAAGACAAAGTCACACAAGGTTCCTAAACACATCCAAACATCTTGAGGGACTGAGTTACTGGGGCTGACAGCTGGGTACCAAGGTCTCAGAGGACATCTAGGTCAATTGGCGTAACATAGTTCATAAAGAAAATGTTCTACATCCAACTTTGGCGAGTAGCACTTGGGGTCTTAAAAGCTTGCGAGCATCCATCAAAGATACATCTATTGGTAACATCCCATCCAGAGCAAAGGAGAATGAAGAGAATCAAAGACATAAGGAAAATATTCGTCCAAGGACTAATGGACCACATGAAACACAGCCTCCACCAGCCTGAGCCCAGAAGAACTAGATGGTGCCTGGCTACCACCAACAACCCCTCTCACAGGGATCACAATAGAGGGTCCTTGAGAGAGCGGGAGAAAAACGTAAAACAAAATTCAAATTCACACAAAAAAAAGACCAGACTTAGTGGCCTGACAGAGACTGGAGGAACCCCCAAGACTATGGCCCTCAGACACCCTGTTAACTCAGAACCGAAGTTACTCCTGAGGTCCACTTTTCAGCCAAAGATTAGGCAGGCCTATGGAGGAAACGATGACACACATGAGGAATGTGCTTTTAATTCAGTCAAGTACATGAGGACGGAAGGCAGGAAGGGACAGGAAAACGGGATGAATGGACACAGGGAGCCTGGCGTGGAATGAGGGAGCATGCTGACACATTCCGGGAATTGCAGACAATGTCACAGAGCAATCTGTGTGAGTATCTGAATGAGAAACTAATGTGTGCTGTAAACTTTCACAAAAAGCACAATAAAGTTTACAAAATAAACATCAGAGGATTTTTTTTGGTTGTTGTTGTAGTTTAAGTGAAAGTTTACAGTTCAAGTTAGTCTCTCGTACAAAAGTTTATACATACACTGTCATCTGACCCTAATTGCTCTCCCTATACTGTGACAGCACACTCCTCCTTTCCACCCGATTTCCCGTATCCATTCAACCAGCTCCTAACCCTCTCTGCCTTTTCATCTCACCTCCAAACAGAAGCTGCCCATTTAGTCTCATGTATCTACTTGAGCTAAGAAGCACACTCTTCACAAGTATCATTTTATGTCCCACAGTCCAGTCCAATCTTTGTCTGAAGAATTGGCCTCAGGAACTGTTTTAGTTCTGGGTTGACAGAGAGTCCGCAGCCCGTGCTTTCTGGGGTTCCTCCAGTCTCAGTCAGACCATTAAGTCTGGTCTTCTTACTAGAATTTGAGTTCTGCACCCCACTTTTCTGCTGATCCATCACGGACTGTCCGTTGTGTTCCCTGTCAGGGTGGTCACTGGTGGTAGCCGGGCACCATCTAGTTCTTCTGGTCTCAGGCTGATGAAGTCTCTGGTTTATGTGGCCCTTTCTGTCTTTTGGGCTAATACTTTCCTTGGGTCTTTGGTGTTCTTCGTTCTCCTTTACTCCAGGTGGTTGGGACCAATTGATGCATCTTAGACGGCCACTTGTAAGCTTCTAAGACTCCCGACGCCACTCACTGAAGTACGATTAAGAACATTTTCTTAATAAGCTTTGTTATGCCAGTTGACCTAGATGTCCCCTGAAAGCATGGTCCCCAGACCTCCACCCCTGCTACTCTGTCCCTCAAACTGTTTGACTGTATTTCAGGAAACTTCTTAGCTTTGGTTTAGTCCAGTTGTGCTGACTTCTCCTGTAGTGTGTGCTGTCCTTCCCTTCACCTAATTCCTGTCTACTAGTGAATAACCCTCACCCTTCCTCCCCACCCTCATAACCATCAAAGAATTTTTTCTTCTGTGTTTAAACGTTTTCTTGAGTTCTTATACAGACGTCAGAGTTTTAATAGTCGTTACAGTGGGGGAAATGAGGGGAGTCGTTTAGGAAGTACTCAGTTTTTTGTTTAAGGGGTGAAAAATTTGGCATAGGATATTGGTGATAGTTCACAATGTGACTGATGGAATTGATCTCACTGAACTGTATACATTGGGAATGCTGAAATGGCAAGTGTTGTGTTATCTATATCTTCACAACAATAAAAAAAAAGTGATCATAAGGACACCATACAGAGAGAGAAGTAAAAACACAAGGTGGAAGAAGATACTTACACCACACATAACCAAAGGACTAGTGTCGGAATGTGTGCAGAACTGCAAGAATCAATACATAAAGACAATCCTATAGACAAATAGGCAAGAATGTTAGACACTACACAAAAAATGAAATTCAAATGGCTAATAAACATATAAAAACATGCTGAATCTTAATGCAGGATATTCAAATTAAGATCTCAATGTAAACAAACACACACAATCGGCCGAATTTTTTAAATATTAAGTGTTAGCAAGGAAATGGAGAAACAGAGCTCTCCTACACTGACGGTGGGAAAGTAAACTGATGCAACTACTTTGGAAAACAGTTTGGTACATCTAGAACTGTTAAAGATACACACACTCTGTGATGCAGCAACTCTACTTCTAAGTATTACAACTAGAGAAAAAATTTCACAGATGTATCAGGAGAAATGAACACAATTCTTCACAGTGGAAATGTTCATAACAACCTACACTGCAAACAACCCAAATATCCCACAGCACTAGGATGGATAAATTACGGTATATTCGTAAAACAGTATACGGTATAGTGATGAAAAGGAATACGGTTCACTCACATATCAGCATGAACCTTACAAACGATTTTCAGCAAAAGAAGTAGACCACACAAAATGATGCCATTTATATAAATTTCAAATAAAAAATTAAACTATATATTATTATTTAGGGACACACAGAGAAAGTAAAATTATAGAGAAAAGCAATGGAAGGATTTTCACAAACTCAGGACAGTAGTCTCTTCTAGGATGGATGGAAGGAATTAAGAGGGCAATCCAGGCTGTGGAGAGATTCTAAGCCCATGGCAATTTTCGAGTTCACATTATAGTTACTCTTTAAACTGTACACATTGTTTTATATTCTCTTCTGAATGTATGATACTTTTCATAATACAAAAGTGAAAATATAGAAGCAATGGAATCAAACAAAACATTAAGGATTGTGGTCACCTGTTCAGGAGAAAGGAAAGGGGCAGGAAGGAGTCTGGGGTGGGACATACTAAAAACCAGGTGCTCTCAAGAGTTAATTCTGTCTCACGGTGACCCCATGTGTGTCAGAGTAGAACTGTGCTCTATAGCGTTTTCAATAGTCGAGTTTTCTAAAGTAGACCACCATGCCTTTCTTCCAAGGTGCCTCTGCGTGGACTCAAACCTCCAACCTTTCCATCAGCAGCTAACAGCATTAACTGTTTGCACCACCCAGGGACTCTAGAACATACTAGGATTTTGAAAATAATGTTGCTGTCAGGTGCCATCGAGTCAGTTCTGACTCATAGCGACCCTATGTACAACAGAACAAAACACTGTCCGGTCCTGTGCCATCCTCACAGCCATTGCTATGTGCGAGCACACTGTTGCAGCCACTGTGTCAATCCATCTTGCCAAGGGTCTTCCTCTTTTTCGCTGCCCGTCTACCAGCATGATGTCCTTCTCCAGGGACTGGTCCCTCCTGATATCATGTTCAAAGTATTGAGACGAAGTCTTGCCATCCTCACTTCAAAGGAGCATTCTGGCTGTACTTCTTCCAAGACAGATTTGTTCATTCCCCCACACGTCTGTCAGTTTGTCGTACTGTGGGGGCTTGCGTGTTGCTGTGATGCTGGAAGCTATGCCACCAGTATTCAAATACCAGCAGGGTCACCCATGGTGGACAGGTTTCAGCTGAGCTTCCAGACTGAGACAGACTAGGAAGAAGGACCTGGCTGTCTACTTCTGGAAAAAGTTAGCCAGTGAAAACCACATGAATAGTAGCGGAACACTGAAAGCAATAGTAATATCTATTTCTTAAGCTGGACATTTAAGAAAGAAAATGTTTGTTGTGTTGATGTGCTAAATATCCTACTCATAACTTACAACTATTTTGCACCTTCTTGATAATTTACTTTAAGATAGAAAGAAAAGAAGTGTTAAGAAACATCATTAAAAGTTGTTAGGTTCTATAGTAATTCACAACATTGTGAACTAGCCTGGAAACTTCCAGGGCACTGTTACCAGGAGAAAACTAACTCAGAATTCTAAATAATTTGCCCACACTGCTTTCTAGGACATTGTTTATAGACTTCAAGTGACCTACATACTTTGGGATGGAATGAGCTCCTGGACCAGATCCTAAGAAAAGTGCTCCCATAGTACACTCCACTGAGGCCCAGGAGAAAGCTGCTATTTGAGGGGATTCACGTTCCAGGACATACGCTCCGTGGCGCTAGAAATTCTGGATCCTGAGTGAAGCCCTCTGTTTATCCTCTTGGTCTTTGCTGTGGATGGAACTGTGTCCCCTAAAAAGATATAGTGAAGTCCTAGCCCCTGGTATCTATGAACGTGACCTTGTTTGGAAGGAGGATCTCTGAAGACGCTGTTAGGCTAACAGAAGGACATACTGGAGTAGGGTACGTCCTAATCCTGTATGACTGGCGTCCTTATAAAGGAGAAGAGACATAAAGACAGGGAGACAGAGGAATGACGCCATGTCATACTGCAGCTTCAAGCCAAGGAACACCTGGAGCCACTAAAAACTAGGAGAACAGCATGAACAGACTCTCCCTCAGAGCCCTCAGAAGAAATCAACAGGGCTGACACCCTGATCTGGACTTCCAGCCTCCAGAACTGGGAGACAATAAATTTCTGTTCTTACAAGCCACCACTTTGTGGCATTTTGTTACAGCAGTCTTACGGGACTCATACAGCCTTCAGAAACATCTGGGGTGATAAGCAGATCACATTCTCTTGACCTGGTAATAGTCACTCTGCTAAGTGATTTTATCTGCTGCAGTTTGACTCACGGCCCGGCATGCCAAAAGCGGATTCATTTCACTTATTTCTGAAAAGATAGTTTCTTACTCTCTCACCTCTGTCTTCCAAAGTTTGCAGTTTACGTTTGAAGCTGGTCATCAATGACTTTTGGTTTCCAATCTTAAAAACAAAACAGACAGTCTCCAAATACATGTTTTTTGTTTTTTTTTTTTGTCAAAGTAAGAAATAAAAAACCCAAAAACCAAACCCGTTGCCATCAAGTCTATTCCAACTCACAGTGACCCTACAGGACAGAGTAGAACTACCCACAGCGTTTCTAAGGAGCACCTGATGGATCTGAACTGCTGATTTTTTGGTTAGCAGCGAGTTCTTAACTACTGTGCCACCAGGGTGCCAAGTAAGAAATAAGTAATGCTATATTGTCCTTTAAAAGGTAATCAGCCAGTATATTAAGCAAATGTAATATTAATTCTGGAAAACCAAATCCATAACCAACAATTAAATAGTACCTTAGGTACATTTTCTTCAGCTTCTGAGTGCTCCAAGGAAGGGCGCTCACTCTGTGGGTGGGGACTCGGAGGTTCTGAGTATTAGAATAGTTTCAGGTGAGTTAACATGACAAGAAACAACTTAAAGCAATACTATGGCACCATAGCTCTCTCTTATGTTTCATCATGGAAAAATAAAAAGGGATACAGCTCTAAACAAAACAAAAAACTTCGTGCCTGTTAGGGTATGTGTGGTTATTAGATTTGCAGATCTGTAGGTGAAATGAATGGTCAGTCACCTGAATAGGTCAGTATTTTACCAACTTCCCATCTGGCCTCAAATACATTGGGGCAAGTGTTCTAACACCTCAACCTGTGATTCTTCTCTTTCTTCTGTCTCTTACATCCCCTTCCTTATTCCCTCTTCCTATTGTTTTTCCTCTCTCCTTTCTCCCTTTCGTTTGGCCTCCCAGGCCAAATTCTGCCTACCACTAGGTTTTGTAAATAAAGTTTTATGGAAACACATACTGTCTATGGCTGGTTCGGTGCTACAAGTGCTGAGTTGAGTAGTTGCAGCAGCAACCATATGGACCAAAAAGCCAAAATATTTACTACCTGGCCCGTTACAGAAAAAGTGTGCCAACTCCTGCTAAAGGACCCCCTGCTTAAACTAATCTTGAATATTAAGAACAAAATTAAAGTACAATATCCTTTGCTAATAAGGACGTTGAAGTGAAGAACAATCCTATCTCTACACTGTCTTTAATAGATACCGAAAGAAAACCATTTTGTCTACTTTAAACTACCTTTCCGAAAATGTAATTGTCTCTACATAAATTGACAGAAAAGTCACATACGTGTTGTCAGAGTGGAATCTTCAGGAGCTGCAAAGGCAGAGCTACCCTGGAATTTTGTTTCAGAAGTTTCTGGAGGTAAGGCATTATTTTGCCTGGAGGTATCCTTCTGTAACGATGTTAGAGGTCTAGTCTAAAATACAGTACATTTTTAAGTGTTAACATAAGCACTCAAAACCAGTGCTCAGTAAATTCCAAGACATTTTCAACATCCTTTTACAAAAAGTTTAAGTGTTGGATTTACTCCATTTGAAAATAAACACTAAGAACGTAAGATCCCAGAGTTGGAAGAACATTAATCACATCTCAAGTGATAACTCTACATCAGTGCTTCTCAAAGTGTAGTGCTGGACCAGCCCATCAGGAACACCTGGGAACTTGTTAGAAATGGAAATCCTCAAGCCCACCTATAATCTACTCAATCAGAAACCCTGGGGACAGAACCCAACAATCTGTGTTTTAACAAGCCATCCTGGTAATTCTGATAACCACTGAAGTTTGGAAACCACTGCTCTAAATCCAAATCCATTGCCATTAAGTCAATTCCAACTCATAGCGACCCTACAGGACAGAGGTGAACTGCCCCATAGGGTTTTCAAGGCTGTAAAAAGCAGACGGCCACATATTTCTCCCTCAGAGCAGCTGGTGGATTCAAACTGCTGGCCTTTCAGTTAGCAGATGAGAGCTTTAACCACTGCGCCACCAGGGCTCCTCAAAGTAAGGATAAGTGAAGGGAAATTAAGAAACCTTGATGGTTTGTTCAATATTTGCATAAGCTTGAACAGGGTCACTATGCCTTGGAATCGACTTGACGGCAATGGGTTTGGTTTTGGGTTTTGGAAGGCATTTCAACCTTTTGCAAAAATAAAGGTTTAAATGCTTAAATCATTAAAAGCTGTGGAAGTAACAAGCCAACAAACTGAAAACTAAGTAAAGGATTTTATCAGCAAGTTTACTTTAAAATGTAAATATAAAATGTAAATTCAAAGGCGCATGCATTTGTGGAAAATCAGAATTGTCCAGGTTTTTAGTACTGTTCATAATAAAAGTCCTTCAGCAACATTTGGAAACAATGAAAAAACATGCAAAATCTTTACCCAAGATCCATACTAAGCATTTGGGAGTCCTTGTAGTTCAACTGGCAGTTATTTACACGCCAATAAACCACGGATTTGTTAATTCTCATATTTTTGAAAGGTGTGTTTTGAGAAATACGTGCAGCTTGACACAGTTTCATGTTGGATGCAGTAAGGCACACTGCAGCCCAGAAAAAATTTACTTACTTGGTCTTCCTCCTGAACATTGCCACTCCTGACAGGGGAAAGTGGCAAAACTAAGAAAAAAGAAAACAAGGGTACAATGGATACATGTACTTATGAGAAACACAGAAATCAACTTCTCCCTTTCCCAGTTACACACGCTGGTACTAGAATCTATTCCCATTATTATGGCTTTTTCCAATGACTAGCTTTTAAGATCACTTTCTAATTATCCAACCTTGTTACCCACCAAAACCAAAAACCAAACCTGTGATTGTCGAGTCTATTCCAACTCACGGCGACGTAGCATGTTACAGGGTACAACTGAGCTCCATAGGGTTTTCTTGGCTTAGCCTTTACAGAATGAGATCGCCAGCCCACTCTTCCACAGCTTCCCCGGGTGGGTTCAAACCACCAACCTTTAGTTAGCAGCCACGCTCAAACCATTTGCGCCACCCCCACCACCCAGCATGAATTCTCTGATTGTGTCCCATGAGGGCCATTGTACTGTCCTCTCTACTGTCCTCGTATTGTTACCTAACCTCAAATGCTTCTCACTCTCCCTGGCTCTTTAAATCCTATTCTTTTCTCAAGAGTTAGCTCAAGCTCCACCCACCTCTTCCTTGAGGCCTCTCCTGTTAATTCCACCTCATGAAAGATTCATCTGAACTCCTAGTTACTCGTTTATCTCTAGCTCATATTTAACAATTATTGGTTAATAATAATCTTCTGTATAAGGAGCCCTGATAGTACAGTGGTTAAATGCTCAGCTGCTAACCTAAAGGTTAGTGGTTTGAACCCACCAGCTGGCCCATGGGAGAAAGATGTGGCAGTCTGCTTCCGTAAAGATTTACAGCCTTGGAAGCCCTATGGGGCAGTTCTCCTCTGTCCTATAGGGTCGCTATGAGTCAGAATCGATTCAACGGGTTTGGTTTTATGGTTTCATCTTCTGTACAGTTTCCTGTATGGACATTGTGCCTTTTCCAATGAAACTACAGCAGAAAGGAGGATCATGACCCCACGTCTTTGGGACCCTCTCCCCTCTCATACTAAAAAACAAATACATGTTGATTCATTTGAAAATTGCCTTGAAAGAAAACACATACCACACTTACCTTTTAAGGTGCTTCTGGCTCTTTTCTTTTTTCTACTGGAATATGATTTTAGGGATTTCCTTTTTGGTTTACTGATCCAAGATATTTCACTGGAATTAGTACTTGAATCTTGACAGCTCTCAGAGAAGAGATGTTCCCTATAATTAAACTTTTACACACCCAGATGATAAACGAGATTTTAAAGGGGTATCAGTGCCATGTATGTACAATTAAATACATAACCACAAAGTTATACAAAAGAGAAATTAACTTCCTAGACGACTGGCCTTTCTTACATGATAAACAGGTACAGAAGGAAGAAGGGGGAGAAAAAGAAGATTATTCCATCCTCAGTTCATAACCAAGTTACTGTTGGAAAATATGGCAAAACCCTCTTCAACACAGTAAAACCTGCGAAAGCCAGAACCCATGTAAGGCGTAAACCTGTCAGAGAAGGAAAATGCAAATATCTTCCACTAAAACAAGTGACACAAAGCGGTAAGACTGCACCTGTCAAAGGCGGGAAACTTACGAGACCTGGAAAAACAAGGCAGTCCCGTCAAGTTCCGGCTCTCAAAGGTTTTACATTACTTGCAACTAAAGAGATACCAGATAACTGACCAAAAGGTGAGGTCCCTGAATATCTACCAACACCATAACTTCAAAATACTACTTTAGATGACAGAAGAAAGTATAATTTTATTTTATTTTTTTTTTTGGCCAAGACATGCTTCTCTATGTCTTAAAGAAAGTCCTAAAGAAACTAAACTAAAGCAAAAGGGTCATTTCTGTTTAAACCTTAAAGCATTTTGCAATGAAGCCTGAAGTGTAAAAGTTTAGAAATTTAGGACTAGTTTAATCTATTCTTTCTGATGGATGACTCAACTGTATTTTGTTATTTACCTTTCTTTTAATCTGTTTTTTGCATTCATTTTACAAATGCTATTAATTATTATTAATAAGAAACATGCTCAGTTTTAATACAGAATTTTTTTTTTTTAACAAAAGCATAGTGTTTTTTGAAAAGCATACTCTATTTGAACTCTGCCTGCTGTGCCCTGGGGCGCCCAGTGGACAAGTTCCCCTGCCTCTAGAAGGTGCCACCGTTCAGTTAGTAGGAACTTCTTCTCATTTCACAACAGGTGGTCTTATGACGCATTGCTGGCTCAGTGGCAGAATTCTCTCCTTCCATGAAGGAGTTCGATTCCCAGCCAATGCGCCTCATGCACGGCCACCACCTGTCAGTGGAAGCTGGCGTGTTGCTATGATGCTGAACAGGTTTCAGGGCAGCTTCCAGACTAAGACAGACCAGGAAGAGAGGCCTGGAGATCTGCTTCCGAAAAGCAGCCAGTGAAAACTCTATGGATCACAACCGTCAGATATGCAACCGATCATGGGGATGGCATAGGACCGGGCAGTGCCGCTGTGTGTGGGTCACCATGAGTCGGGACAGAGTCAGGACCAACTCATCAACAGCAAACAGCAGCAGCAAAGGAGTCCCATGAATCCAAATGTATTAACTGGTGACAGTATCACGTGTATGTATCTCATGTATCCTCAAGTAGGCAAAGCACCAGCCTGAGGACACACCCACTTACCGCAATGGTCAGGAGCAGAACCAGTTCCCGAGGACATCGCTAGATGGGTGAGGACTGGCTTCACCCTTGTTTATGGCAGCATGACCAGAACACCTGAGGTGGGTAATCGTTACCAACTTTTTTTTAATGAATTCATTTTTGAAGACCTAATTACTCCTTGTTTAAAATTTTTAGCAGTTCAGCACGTGCAGGGAAGGTCATTTTTAAAAGGAACTTTGTGAAACAGGACTGTTTTCAGGTTATGTTTACTTTAAGGGAAAAAAAAACAAAAACCAAATAAACCCATTGCTGTTCAGTCAATTCCAACTCATAGCAACCCTACAGGACAGAGCAGAGTTGCCCCACAGGGTTTCCAAGGAGCGGATGGTGGATTCAAACTGCTGACGTTTTGGTTAGCAGCTGAGCTCTTAACCACTGTACCACCAGGGCTCCAAGGAAAAAAAGAAAGAAAAAAACACATTTGGTGCAGAGTTCTTCAGATCAGTGTCTTGTGAAAACAGAGCAAACATCACTTCTTCAATGAACCCAATTAAAAAACTATGCAGCAAGGTTCTCCCAGTTTTCTTGGTTTTGTACAGAAGGTGTCAGAAGTTACTTACAAAGGCAAACGTCTCTAGAGCAGTGCTTCTTACATTTAGCTGCACATTAGAATCACGGGGGGTGGGGGAGGGTTTGAAAAACTCCCAATGCCCAGACATCATCCCAAATCAATCAGTCACAGTCTCCGGGAGAGGCAGCCAGGCTTCTGTAGCTGCTACTGCCCCCCAGGGGGTCCAATTCAAGAACTGGGCAGCAGAGGTCAAGAACCATTGCTAAGAAAAGGCCAGGATGAGCCTTAACTCATTTATTTGAAGCTCATGGATGCAATTTTGGAAAAACTTGTCACTTAATGTTCATTGCAGACTTTTTTTTTTTTAAATGCACCGACTATAGACTTAAATCAATTGCCGTTGAATCAACTCTGATTCATGATGACCCAACATGTGTTGGAGTAGAATTGTGCTCTGTAGGGTTTTCAGTGGCTGGTTTTTCAGAAGTAGAACACCAGGCCTTTCTACTGACGTACCTCTGGGTAGACCTGAACCTCCGACCTTTCAGTTAGCAGCCAAGCGTGTTAACCATTTGAACCACCCAGGGACTCTGGACTATAAACCCAGACAGTGTGATTCCCAAAGTGAGGGAACATACTACCAGGGGTCCACTATTATTTGTACACAGGTACAAAAACAGGTCACTGACTCTCAGAGTGAACAACTCCCTTCTTAATCCTTTAAGCACTTCTGATTCTATTCCGTTAAGCCTCAGGTACTGCTCAGCTGACACTGAGTTGATTCCAACTCCTGGTGACCGCGTGTATGTTGAGCAGAACTGCTCCAATGGGTTTTCAGTGGCTGTGACCTTTTGGAAGCAGATCACCAGGACTTTCCTCTGAGGCACCTCTGGGTGGGTTCAAACCACCTTTTAGTTAGTAGTCGACTGCTTAATAATTTGTGACACCTAGGGACTCCCAGTTAGATACCAGTAGGTTTTTAACAACTATCTTACTTATTAGTCTTTTTTTTTTTTTTTTACAAAGCAAGAATGGGCTTCAGGCTCAAGGCCTAATATAAGTAAAAATATAGCTTCAACATGATAACACTGTTATTTTTCATGCTATTTATTTGGGGGGTTTACCTACGTTACGCTACAAGTAATGCTGATTTCCCATTTGAAAGTGAAACAATTCCTTTTAAAATAAGTTTAAAATCAATTTAATTAAGAAAAATATAGGTAATAAAAAGCAGACCTATGACAAATTTGGAAGATGCTATGCAAATAACTGAAATGTAGGAAGTATGCCTTAAAATAATAAAAGTTATTAGATTACCGACATCCGTGTGTCTTGCTTTCTATGACCCTTGAAAGTAGAATCTGCACTAAAAACAAAATATATTGAATAAACAAAACATGTCGAACCACCATCCTCCTCCTTCCCTCCTGTCACAGGCCTAACTTTTTTTGTTTTTCTTTTATGCGTCCTTTGTTTGATCCCGGGCCCAGTACGTGCGGAGTACCCCATTCTGCAGGCTTTGTCAAGTCCTTGCCTTCATCAAAACTTCTTTATCTTGCAGTCTATTCCCATAGATTCTGCCAAGCAATAGCTCTTAACACAACAAGCCTGTATTGAGCCCCTTCTCTGTCAGGTACCAAGCGCAGGCCCACAGAGATGAGGATAGCAGGAGGGGGCAGGTCACCAGGGAGCTGGGGCAAAGCTCAAGAGCATTCTTCAGTCTGCTGCACGTTAGATTCACCTGGGTGCTTAATAAATAAATAAAAATGAAGCTAATGCTGGGTTCCACTTAAGAGATTTTGTTTCAACTGGTCTAGGACAGGGCCCGGACACAGGTATGGTCTTTCAAAGCTCCCAGGTAATTTTTCATGGACATCCAGACTGGAGAACCAATGTCAAGGAGGAGGAAGTGCTCCCTCTGCTTTGTGGTCAGGGATGGTTTCTGGGGAAGGGACATTCTTTTTTTATATTTTTTTTTATTGTTATACTTTTAAGTGAAAGTTTACAGTTCAAGTTAGTCTCTCATACAAAAATTTATACATAGTTATATAACCCTAATTGCTCCCCCTATACTGTGACAGCACACTCCTCCTTTCCACCCTGGATTTCCCGTGTCCATTCAACCAGCTTCTGACCTTCTCTGCCTTCTCAGCTCACCTCTGGATGAGAGCTGCTCATTTAGTCTCATGTATCTACTTCGGCTAAGAAGCACACTCTTCACGAGTATCATTTTATGTCCCATAGTTCAGTCTAATCTTTGTCTGAAGAGTTGACCTCAGAAATTGTTTTGGGTGTTGGCTGACAGAGAGTGGGGGGCCATGCTTTCCGGGGCTCGTCCAGTCTCAGCCAGACCATTAAGTCTGGTCTTTTTACTAGAATTTGAGTTCTGCACCCCACCTTTCTCCTGCTCCATCAGGGACTCTCTGTTGTGTTCCCTGTCAGGGTGGTCATTGGTGGTAGCCGGGCACCATCTAGCTCTTCTGGTCTCAGGATGATGCAGTGTCTGGTTTATGTGGCCCTTTCTGTCTCTTGGGCTAATACTTTCCTTGTGTCTTTGGTGTTCTTCATTCTCCTTTACTCCAGGTGGTTGGGACCAACTGATGCATTTAGATAGCCACTCACTAGCTTTTACGACCCCCAGATGCCACTCACCAAAGTAGGATGCAGAACGTTTTGCACTAACTCTTATTAGTTTGCTGACAGATGTGAAGGTTTTGTAAGGAAGCTTCACAGTCTATAGTCAGGATTAACTGGTTTCAGCAACAGAAGGTAGGTCATGTAATAGTTAAAAGTGCTCAGATTTGAAATGTATGCCTTTGAGTGAAGAAACTAAAACCTTAGATGAGATGCTTCAACACGTTTCTTTATTGGCTGTTGGGTCACTGGGCTCTGCTTTCCTAAGACAAAACAGATGCATCCTACAGAGTTATTCCCAAGAATATTTAGCTAGGTGATACGACATGCCACGCGAGTAAGACCAGATGGGGCAGACATGGCAGCCGAGAGCAGCAGCAGAAGCAG